TATATCGCAACATCACAATGGAAGACGTCTTCACCAGTATCCTTCTGGCTGAAAAGTTCCTTGAGAAGAACCTGACCATTGTGGGGACCCTTTGCCAGAACAAGACAGACATATCGCCTGTCATGAGGCCATCCAAATTGAGGGAGAAGCATAGAATAAGAATCTGGATTCAGTGGCAACATGACCATGGTGAGCTATGTGCAAAAGAAGGGGAAGGCTGTTGTCCTCCTGAGCACCATGCATGATGACAAAGCATTGGATGACAACAGTGTAAAGAAGAAACCAGAAGTGATCCAGTACTATAATAAAAGCAAATCGGGAGTGGACACAATGGATCAGATGGTTCACACACATGCAGCGGAGAACAAGGAGGTGGCACAGGCGGGCATAGTGCGTAAAAATGGCCAAAGCTCTGCTGACTCAATAACTGCAGTTCCAAACCAGCTCTGGCATTAATATATATATATATATATATATATTAATATCAGCACCAAAACTGTGGGAGCTTCATGGGTTTTCATGGCCGAGCAGCTGCATCAAGATGCCTTACATCACCAAGCACAATGCCAAGCGTTGGATGGAGTGGTGTAAAAGCACCACTGGACTCTGGAGCAGTGGAAACGTGTTCTGTGAAGTGATGAATCACACTTCTCCATCTGTCCTCTGAGGTACGAGTCTGGGTTTGGTGAATGCCAGGAGAACGTTACCTGCCTGACTGCGTTGTGCCAACTGTAAAGTTTGGTGGAGGAGGGATAATGCTATGGGGTGTTTTTTCTGGGGTTGGCCTAGGCCCCTTAGTTCCAGTGAAGGGGAATCTTAATGCTTCATTACCAATTCATTTTGGACAATTCTATGCTTGCATGACTGTGCCCCACAAAGCAAGGTCCATAAAGGCATGGTTGGGTGAGTTTGGTGTGGAAGAATTTGACTGGCCCGCACAGAGCCCTGACCTCAGCCCCATTGAACACCTTTGGGATGAACTAGAATGGAGATTGCGAGCCCGACTCTCTCGTCCAACATCAGTGTCTGACCTCACAAATGCTCTTCTGGATGAATGGGCAAAAGTTCCCACAAACACACTCCAAAATCTTGTAGAAAGCCTTTCCAGAAGAGTGGAAGCTGTTGTAGCTGCAAAGGGGGACCAACTTCATATTAATGCATAATAATTTGGAAAGGGAGAAGGTTGTGTAGGTGTAATGTGTATGTGGCCCAATGCTTTTGTCTATAGTGAATAAAGAGACGCATGGAGAGCATGACCAACCTCCAAAAGCACATTACAGGGGGACTGGAAAGATGTGGGCTAAAAAGACTAAATGCACACACCACCCAGCAACATGTACTGTTTGGTCCAAATCAGTCCTAACATAATTATTATTATAGTATGTTTTTTTAATCATTTTATCACACTTGCGTACATGGGTCATTTTTGACCTATGTACGCAAACTTGATGTAGAAATACAAAAACTGTTTTATTTCCTAAATTAAGAAATGTAGAATGAAAATAATGATGTTTGGTGATCAAAAGCAAGATATTAAATGAATACTTGAAATATTAAATGATTAAATAAATAGATTTCCAAAATATATTGCCAAGAAACAGTCAGCCATGCATGAAATAACATTGTAAGTCAATACGGGTAATTTCTTACCCATGTTGTTCCTTAGAAGGGTTAAAATGGCTTCTGTCAGTTATAAGATCATTTATTGTGCTTCATTATTGTTCTTTGCTTTAAACTCTTTATTTATCTGATATCAAATACTTCCTTTATAACAAAACTTTGAATGAAACGACATTAAGAAAAGTCACAGTTTCTTCTTAAAGGCAGTGAATTATTTTTCTCTCTTTTTGCAAATTAGAAATCTTGATCAGAGCAGTCCTTTTCTGTGCCTGTAAATGTCATCATCTAACTTTTGGGTCTGTCTGTTGCGGACAAATGTTGAGAAATGTCTGGAGCTTAAGTTTGCAGAGTCACACTGATGGGAGAATCTTGCAGAGAGGAAGCAGTGAGGGGAAAAGCAGGAGGAGCAAGGTACTGCGGGATAGACGATGGGCCCTAGAAGACATTGGGGAGATGAGGATTATTAAGAAGCATTATCAGAGTTCGTTATTTGGATCTTTTTCGCCTAGAAAAAGAAAATTACAAAATACAAAGGCATCCGTTTGTTGTAGCATAAATCAATCACAATCCTGATATCTGTGTAGCGTGGGTGGGAGAAGGCATACTGAAGGTGGGTGCAAGGTTTTGTTTGTTTTATGCACTAGAAACGTCTCTCTGCACTGCCAGTTTAGACAGAAGAAAGAATTACCATAGTGCTTCAACACTTTTTTCATTACATATACATGATTTCCTTTATTAACCTAATTTATAGTACAAATATTTAGAAAAAAAACACTCAACAATTCCAATTAGCACAAAGACAAAGTTGCATTCATTTGTTCATTCAATAGATTAAAGAAAAGCAGCATATCCTTAAAAAACATCATGTTTGGCATACAGTATTGATAAATGCCTTAAACAATGAGGTGGTTATCATGTTCGTGGAAGAACTGTCTGCACATGTAAAGGACTATGTATGACCTGATTGATTCAGCTCTCAATTACAGCCGCTCACAACTCTTTCAATGCACATATGCACATACAAATATTGTCATAAGAATGATTGTGGGTTTGTAAACAAATATTTTTGATAACTTGAAAGCAAACTCACGTCAGGATTGCGAACCATAAATTGAAATCAGTAAGAGCAATTATTTAGGAATATATAGATCTATATATATATATCAATTATTTAAATGCAATTTCTTGTGTGTAGCATTTTAATGTTGCAACAGCTGGAGGTGAAGCTTATTTGACCTACTTTATAAACATTTGGGTAGTTTAGTCCTTAAAAGTAGGCCCACATAAAACAATCTGATTCTTCATTTGACACATGAAGATGTGAACCAAATGTTGTGTAAAAAAAAATCAATAAAAAATCAATACTGAATTTACAATATTAATTTCTTAACTGTAGTGGAGTAATGTTATAGTTTTGGGGGGAAATTGCAAATGTGGCTTTCTTTTTTTTAATGACTGTTCTTTGCGGCAAGGCACTACAGCTAACTTTTCTAACCAACATTTAAACTTTAAACTGATGATGTTGGTTCAACACTTCAAGATGTAAGAGAGTGCATGTTTACTGTGAATTGATAATTAGCTAAATATATTTTACTACAATAAAATACATAACACAGGTAGGCAACACAGTTCTTCTTCATTGCGCTTCTTTACAATATTTGACGGTGGTCGGTAATAGCAGAATTCCTTCCGGAATGGAATGTGAACTGCTTTTTACTAATATGCTTTCAGAAGACTTCCTCGTTCACTAATGAAATATCCCTTATAATATAACAGTTAAAACATTAAATGAAGGTCCTGTAAAGGTAAAGACAACTATCATCACTTCACTACTATTTAGATGTTGGGCCGTGCAAAACAAAACAAATATTAAGACCCAGATATCAAGGTTATAAATAAAGAACCTTGAACCTTGTCCATCTGTAGCAACTGAGCAATTCTAATGTAACATTTCTCATAATTCGAAATAAAAAAATATTTAGACAAAATTAAATCAAGATCAATATTGATTCATTTATTTAAAAATAAAACAAAGTATAAACCACATCAAATTAAAAAAAACAATTTTCTCCTTTGAACAGAACAAGTTAGTGTAAGTAAGTTTAAATGGCCGAAGGTGAACAATCATCACAAGGACAGGTACATCAGTTCATTGGATATCCAAGCTTCACAAATGTTTCTTTTAAAGGGCAAGTAGGATGTGAACCTGTTTTCAGTCAAATGTAATCTAGAATTTCAGACCAATCCTCCCAACACAGTACTCATCATATCTAGCATAGCAGATCTATAAGAGTAAGATATATCCACCAAATCATGATTAAAAAAACAATCCCTTGAAAATGGAGGAATGTATGTCTGGTTCACCATTTTCATTTTTGAATGTTTAGCACTCTGAATAAATGGCAAATGTACAAATAGAAAAAAACCTTAAGTAAAAAAAAAAAATTAAAGACTTGGATCAAGCTACACATTAGTTAAGTCTATTCATAAACAATCTTTGTGAAAACTATATGTAGTTAGGTTTTGTTTCTCAGAAATGATTGTATGGTCACGTTGGTCATCAGGTCTAGCATGAGTGTTTTGGCACAACATTTGGCTTCATTATTTGTAGTATTAGACGTGCTAAAACAACTGCTTTGTAATATCTGCACACTAAAACATTGCTGTTCATAACCATATCTACAATATCCAGTTGCTTTATTTTCTTAGGGTATGATGATGCATCCTCACCCCATCTAAGGGAACGGTGTACATGAGATACATTTTTGCATTCTTTCAGAGATTAGAGCCAGGATTTGTCCAAAACATTTCTTCTTCTGGACCGGCCTTGACCGCAGCAGCAGCAGCAGCAGCGTGGTTGCACAACAAATCTGTAAAATAGTTTTTTTTACACAAAAAAAGGTTTACACACACACACTCCTTCCTAACAGGCTACTCCTGTTGCTATTGGCTATACTTTCTTTACCTTTTTAGGTATCATTAGACGCCCATTTCTATAATGAATGTCAAACAACAGCTGAACTCGCTGTTTGATACCATTGTCCCATAAATCTGACATGATTACCGTAATTTTCGGACTATAAGCCGCACCTGAATATAAGCCGCAGCAGCGGCATACCACTCTCAGTTCCACTTTTACTTTTGCGCGCTACCTGTCTCACTCTTTTCCGGCCTCCAGCTTTTCCTGCTGGAACCCGCCGCTGAAAGGTGGGGGTCCGCGGACCGGCCATAGAGCCCATAGAGTTAAAGGTGTTGGCCGTTAGCTGTAAAAATCCATAGATTAGCCGCACCGTTATATAAGCCGCAGCGTCGAAAAATAGGGAAAAAGGCGCGGCTTATAGTCCGAAAANGCTGAAGAATATAAAATAATGGTTGGTAGCTATTTTCAGATTGTCTCTTCCCACAATACGACGAAGAAACATACTTTAATCTGAAGTCTTTACTACTACTTCTTCCATACCTCATTCATTGCTAAGAGTAAAGGAAATCAAGACGTAATGTGCAATAGGGTTTAAAAATGGATCTACTGTGTTATACTTGCTTGTACAAATGACTGGTGGGAAGATTTTATGAGTGGTGCTGTGGTACATCGATGGTAAAAATAAAGATGACCTATTGATAAACAGGGGTGTTGACAGTCATGTCAGGGAGAGCCGCACTGCCCCAGCTGGAGGATGGTGACGGAGACCCCGGTTTGTACACATAACTCTCTGCAGTCAGTATGAAGTCCATTAGAAGCACTCTGTGTTCCTACAGGGTATTCTTCTCTGGGGCGAAGAGAGCTTCCAGGCCTGTTGCTTCACTGTTCTGCAGTACATCCTTGTCCGGCTTCGGGCTTTTATAGAGCGATGGAAGATTCCGGATATGAACCTCCTTCCTGAACTGCTGGCACAGAGCTTTCTGTTGACGGGAGTCAAAGAGAGGAGGGGTTAGAACAGAGCTATAGGAGATCTACCAGAAATAATTTCATTACATTGTACAGCCCTGTTGAGCTGCTGCACATTTTCTTTCTGCCGAGCACAGAAGATTTACTGCACAGCCAGAATCACACACTGCTGAGTAATGACTTGCACTCTGAGGCCAGGGTGTCTGGTCACTTCTGATGAGCAGTCTACAGTGGGATATAACAGAGAAGCACTGCTCTCTAGTGGCTAAATGTGGCATTACCCCAACGGTTCCTTCGATGAGCTTCCTGAAGTGGTCTTTCCTCTTCTTGTCTCCAACCTTCTGGGCATTAGGGTCCAAGAGCCGGTGGTCATACTGGTCTAGAGCCTCCACACTGATTTTTGGGATCTGGGTCATCACTACTCTTAGCTCTGGATAGCGAGCTCGCTATAGCAGATAAACAGACAGGTAAGGAGATGATTAGTAATGCATTCTGAGGAATCAACTATAAAGACCCACAGATACAACTTCTATATATCACTTTGTGACTTCACAGCAGAACCAATTAGTCATTTGACTGCCAATGAATCAGAGGCTCATTTGATAACCAATTAATTGTTTGATGTTAGTTTTGGCAACGGAAATATCCAATATTTCTCACTGGGAGGCTAACATTTGGCATGGAGGTCAAGTTTTTGTGAGGCTGTGTGTGTGAATGAATGTACGTGGTCACAACTTGTGCGGATTTTTGATGGTTCATGCTTCTTCCATTTATGACAGTCAACTGAACAGTTTTTTACTGCAAGTTAGATAAAACGTGCATTTCAAGACATCACTTTAATCATCTTTTAGTAAAAACAAATACAAAAAATAATGGGCTGGGCAATAACGGTTGAACAAACAAGGTCAAAATAAAGAGCAGATATGGCAGAGGTTATTGCTTTTAGCCTCACCAGGTTTTCATAGATGAGCATGGCCAGCTGAGAGAGGGTAGAGTTGCAGACTTCATGTTGCCCGTGAACCTGAAGGGCCCTAAGGACGCTGGTATAAAACCATGTGACTGCTTCAGGAAGAAGATTACCCCCAATAACCTGAAGGGACAAAGAGCGGATTTGAGAGGAAAACTTTAGAAATATGTGAAAATGAAAAGGTACATTTAACAGCCACCTTTAAGTCACAGACAATGAGTGAATATCAGCAGAAACTCAAAATAGCCTGACATTGAAATTGTGCATTAAATGGTCAGATAGGTGTCAGAAAGTACTTCCTGTGTTTAAAAAGCCGTATCAAGCATGGTCGTTTCAGCCTTAGACTTCCATTGTATTTAATGAGGTTTGTGCACACTAATAAAATACTATAAGGCTAGCTTTTATATTGTACGTTTGTTGCTACCTGGCGCAGAAGTGTCCAGCAGACCATGGAAGCAGTGCGGTGACAGTTGGTGGTGTCCTTCCACGACAGGGAAGTAAAGGTGAGGGTCAACATGTTCATGTAGATGTTCTGGATGAGAAAAACAGAGACATTGAGCCTATCTGCAGCATTTCAGTAATAAATATGCTGCTGCTAGAGTGTTATGCGTCTCAGGCTGACCTCGTGTTTAAACAGGTGTTTTCCCAGCTCGCTCAGCTCCTCTGTGGGCTGGGCAGGAGACGCCGTCTGCGCCGAATCCATCATCATGTCTTCCTCTGGGAGAGAACAGTTCAAGAAAAGTATTAAGATAAGATAAGATGGAACTTTATTTGTCCCTGTGGTGAAATTCAGGCGTTTATAGCAGCCACAGGGTCAGGGTGAAAAACAGGATTCAAACAAGGTAAAAAATAAAGATAAAATACAATACAAATAATAATACAAACATTTAAAAATAAAGTGATAGAGTAAGTGTTGAAAGAGATATCATGGTAAAACGTTGGTCATTTGAAGTAAGACTAGAGGTGTCCCAAAAGACTTGGAAAATGTGGTTAGGAAACCTTAGACTCGTGCATTATGGGTGTGCTGAAAGTCTGATTTTGCATAGAATTGTTTCTCCAAATAAAGCATGATATGTCGCCTATATTATTTCTCTCTACGGCTCTGCACCACAGTATTTACATGGATATAAGCCCCGCCCCCTCTCCAGCGCATCCTGTTTGAATGACAGGAGTAAACACAGCTGACAGCCGCGGTGAAACTCCAGCGGTTAGAGCGATGAGAATATTCGCATCGCGTCCGTTGTGAACGCAGCATAATGCAGTTCAGAAAACACTGTTGCAACTTCGAGATTCTAACAGTATCAGGGGCACGCAGGCCATGGTGGCCATAGGACGTACAATTATTTTCGGGGCTTCACGGCCAGACCGAGGGGCAATGACGGCATGGTCGTCATGGCCGCCGTGAAAATCCTACCCTGGTGCACTTGCAGCACTCACATTCTATGACTGAGTGACTCTCTGTATCACGATAGATATGATATCTCTGAAAAGGCATATCGTGGAGACCTAATATCGTCTCGACGATATATATCGTCATATCGTCCACCCCTAATGTCGCCTATATTGGTATAAATATCAGCCTATAAAAAATGAAACATGATAGACTATGCACTATCCAAATGATTTGGACAATCACAGCAGTATCATGGCGATCAGAATACTAATAAGATAACATTAAGAGACAGTTAAATACAACTAATTGTGATTTGACAATAGGCAGGAATAGTACTCGACTATGTCAATTATTATATAAATTAGACACAAGAGTCATCAGTCATGTCATCTTGTCATTGTGAGTATTTGTTTGGAAGTGTTCATTGTGAGAAATCCAAATAAAATCTTATGAATACATATATAATAAAAACAAAATACAACTGTATTTAAAGTTATATCTTACCATCTATTTCCTCTTTATCTGCTGCTGGTTCATGTCCTTTTTTAGATATGCAGCTCACAGCTACAAGAGAAGAAAGAACAGAAATGTTATGGCCGCACAATAACTCAACTCCTCGGCTTACAATATTAAGAGTAATGGCTGATCAGGCAGTTGCTGCTATATGCTGAATTATAAAAACACATCATATATTTTTAGCACCTTCAGAATATGCATCCCCAAACATTGCCCTTTTTTCAAGGGTTCACGGTGGGGGTCAGTTATTTAATTACCAAGGCAAAAGACAGTCAACATGTAGACTTTTAGCTCTATACAGGAATTATGGCTCATATTTGCACTTTGCTGATGTGTTTTTAGTTAGCACATCTGGCAGATACACAAATTGCCCACATGATTATAAGTGCATTATAGCAGTAACAAGCCATGATTTTCACCGTGTGTTTGGCTTTAAAAAAAAAAAAAGGTTACGTTAGGAACATTATATTGCTATCATAAAACAAGTGCACCATCATTATAATAAAATACCATTTTGCAACAGATATTTTATTTTTTAATCAATACCTCTACCAACAAGTGCACAAGTAGCTGGCTCATTACAATGCTAGTTAATACACTGCTTTTTATGGTCCATTCCTTAACTCCAGTTTAATTTAAAAATAATCAGTTAATAGCAACATTAACTTTTAATTAACTTTCATTTATTTTGAACACAAGACATTGTGAAACTTACAGAGAAGATCCAGCACCTCCCTGGTGAGCAGGCGGACCAGCTGCTCCTCCAACATCTCCTGCGTCACATGGCTCTCCTGACACACCACCACCTCCTCATCCTCACCACTACAAACACAGAAAAAGATTAAATAAAGAATGTATTTAAGGAAATGTCTGCGAGTATCGTTAGCAAAATGTACTGCAAGTATTCTGTGACCCTGGATTGTACTTACTTGACAGAGGTCCTCTGGCTGATGAGTTGCCACTTGACGTTGAGTCTCTGTAATATGAAATGGAAACAAGACTATGAGATTTAGCAACCTAAACAACAGTGAGTGTATAAAATATATAATATAGTCAAATTAATGATAAATGTTACAGAATGGGAGATGTGGAGATCTGACCTGCTGCATGTAGGCAAACAAAGGTCCCAGCAGGGGGCACAGTAGACTGTTGTAGTACTCCTGAGGACACGATAGCACCAACTGCCTCAGAAACACCCGTAAAGTTATTAAGGAAATACGATGTCAACATAAAGCAACAGCTCAGATCAGTTCATGTAGAATGAACAGCTGTGATAATATTGGATTTTGAAATAAAACAAAAGCAAGGATATGAATCATAGGGCGAAGTCTGTGGTCCGGCACATGGTCCAGGGACGAAAAAGCAGAGCCAGCTATTTCTTCACTCAGCCTCTCAATGGTGTAGAAATCCTGCTGAAGGGACACACCTGCGCTTCCCAGGACATGGAAGCTACAGAGGTAAAGAGAGTGTAAGATAAAGTAACATTTAATCTGCAACAACATGTTGAAACAAAACCAAACGTTTGGGGATCTTTCTCACCAGTTGTCATACAACGTGGACGAGAATCCCTGCATTCGCTCCAGGTTGCTTTTATACACAGCCGTGTCATAAATGTCCAGAAGGTTCTGAGAGAGACCTGGAGAGAGGACATATATAGAAGGTGTAGACAAAATCTATGAAGATGATGGCTTACTCATGGGGAGAGAAAGAAGAAATGTTCTGGAAGCCCATCTTACCAAGAACCACATTTTTCTCTGCGTCCATCACATCATGGGCCCTGGTGAAGGTCTCACTCAGACGAGCCATGTTCTCCGGGGTGAACAGACTGTTTTGGGTCCTGCAGTGAGGAATAGAGCAAAGAGACTGGTCACAGATCAGCATAATAGCAGGAGGTATTATTGGGGCACTGCTAGACAAACTAATGAGCAAACACGGAGGGTAAACCACTGACCTCATTTTATCACACATTTAATGTAATTGTAATTAAATAAAGTAAACTGCCTTTTTTTTTTTAGTTGCACCGCCTCTCAGCTGCCAATCAAATCAAAGTGCAATGCTCTAAGCAGACCACCTGATCATGCGAAACCTTTCCTCTTTATTTTCCTTTTTGAAATCAGAAAAGGGCTCCAACATGCTGCCATATACATTGTAAAGCTTTTGTATCAGCTATGAAAATGCCGTTTACATCATCATGTCTGACTTAGCAAACCTTACTGCCCAGGTGAAGAGAGACATTTGTTGAATGAAAAAGTAAAGAAAAGTATTGTGATAAATAAAAAGGCATACCTGATTAGAGCCAGCACGTTGGGCAGAAAGGCCAGAAATTGGGCAGTGCAGGGGTTTCTGTAGATGGGAGCTCCTGTGGGGGTGAGGCCCACAACAAAGCCCCCAGCTTTGGCTTCCTCCAGGTCGACAGGCCAGCGCGCACGCTTCACCACCCCCATCATGGCATACAAGCAGAAACTCAGCTAAAGAAGGCCAAAAAAGAAGAGATTAAGAGTTAAACAATTGTTTCATTATTGGGCTCATTGCTTTCTCAATACTTACAATTAGCCCAGTGCTCTTTATGAGCAAACACCTGCAAAATGAGCCTTAGAGCTCACATACTAAGTAGACCTACACACTTACCCGCGCTCTATTAAGGCCTGATGTGTATGCATCTTTATTCTGCTCAGTGACAACCTGATCGGCCCCGACAAAGGACAGGTACACGGCAGGGTTCGACAGCACACTGGAACACAAAGAAGAGATACTTATCTTTCATGACTTTAAAGCTCATGTACATATTGAGGGGAAAAATAAGGAATTCATACGCACTGCCTCATCTCCTCCGAGGTCCAGTCTGCAACCACTGAAGCCATCAGCTCGTCTATAAAAGCCTTCTGCTTTTCAAAGTCTTTGAACTCGTTACTGATGAGCACCAGAGACTCCATTAGAGAACTTTCCATCTGAGAGAGCGTGGCCTGGCTTGAGCACAGCTTCTTTACGTGATTGTAAAACATGTCAAAACAAGGCTGGGGAGGAGAAAATAAATCCTGTTAATTAATGTATATACAGGTCATGCAATTTTCCTTAAAATTGGTGAATTGGACACTCACCAAGAGGACCCTAGGGTAGTCTCTGCATATTTTGATGATTGAAGAACAGGCGTGTCGTCTCACGTTCTTTACAGCTCGGGACCGAGGTGCCTAAAGTTATCAATTGGATGTTTATTTTTTGGGTTTTAGACATGTAGGATTAGGAAAATCACCGGTTCTGTTGTGTTAATTGGTTCTGTGAAAGAAACTCACCTTATTTTCCTGACCAACCTCAAATGAGACTGCTTTAAACAGCTGTAGAGACAAAATAATAAAGTAATGTTAGGTTAATCTTGATGATAATACTTGTTATAAACTTGTTTTTAAATGTTTTAGAAACTGGTGGCATAGCAACACATAGCATGAAAAATTGTGTACATGGGATATTTAAAAACACAGACATCCCCACATTTGAAAAGAGTAATACATATCATATTGAATAGAGTTTTTCTCTACCTAAACTTAAATATATTAGAAAACCACCATCAGCACTACATTAAACCATCATAAAACTACTATTAGGGATGCACCGAATATTCGGACACCGAAAATTATCGGCCGAAAATGGTTAAAAAGGGATGTGGTTTGATTTCAAGTGGTGGAGTAATCCCGAAGTGGTGAAAGTCTTTGCAGTTACACCCCCTCGAGAAATGTCAGCTGAACACGTTTTACAAATTGCAATCCGCGCCTCTTTCTCTGATATTTTGAAATATCTCCAAGCGGCAGACATGTTGGCTGTAGCCGCGAGCATGGTCGCGCGCCGTGCTTGTCGCCGCGTTTTGATTACGTCATCACAACAACACGTTAGGTTACCAAACTTATAGGTGCATTTGTTGTTGTTGAAGGCCTGGCTGTTACAGCCTTTATTTACACTACTTTGTTGTAGGCCTGCTGGCCTAGATGTTTATGCAGTTTTAAAGCACCTTGGCTTTGTTCTGAATGCACTTTGTTGTAGTTATCCTACAGAGAAAAGAAAATGCACTTGACTTGGAATTAATGTACTGTATGCATTCAAAAGTGCTGAATAAATGTTTTATGGACCCATAATAGTGATGTTAAGTTAAGTTAAGTTAAGTTAAGTTAAGTTAAGTTAAGTTAAGTTAAGTTAAGTTAAGTTAAGTTAAGTTAAGTTAAGTTAAGTTAAGTTAAGTTTTGCCATAATCATGTCTTTTTCCATAATCAGGTAGCTGAACAACATTGGTAAAAAATGTATACATTATATNTCCATCCAAATTACAACGAGAGTTTCACGTGGTCTAACTACGAAAATTGAAGTTATAAATTTTTTTTAGAAGGGCCCCCTCGTACGGGGCCTGTGTGGGATCTCCTCCGCTGCTGGGGGGATTCCTACAAAGCCAGGTGGGGTGAACATTTTTTTATCGTGAAATGGGGACGTGGGGGGGGGTTGTTGAGGACCCGATTCGGGGGCCTAGAGTGATGCATGTTAGGATTTAGGCGGTGACGAGTTGGATGTCCGACGAAACCTCCCATAAACGTGAGTGACCTCTGGGAAAATGTACGTATTGTAATTGGAAGTATTGTGTGTTCCGTAGCCCATTACTTAGGTCGTTCGTACTGTACCTGAAATTTCTGATTGAAAGACTCTCAGCGTCACTTTTTGTCATTAAGTAGACAAAGCTTACTTACTCTCACGAGCGTATCCGACTACGTACAAGAGTCGCCATTTCTTTTTGATATCCCAGTGCCGAGAGGTACCAGTCTTCGAAATCACGGCCCCTTTCTCTACAAGTCTTACTACCCAACCTAGTGATCGTTGAATAAGTGAGACTAACGATGCGTTACCTGTACGAGACCTTTTGATTTTACGTTAGAGAACTCTGTATGTCCCATCTACACTCACAAGAGTTTTCGTCAACTAAAGAATAATATGGCCTCTCACATTAAAGATATCTGGTCATTAGACGTATGACTTAGTATTACGATGGTCGAAACGGTAGACTTATGGACGTGTACATTTCACGGAATAGTATATTAGATATTTTTACCGATACGTCGAATCCTCTTGTCGCGTTCAATTGTCATACATGGCAGACAGACCAACACGAAGTAGAGATTATTTGAAATACAATAATCATCACATAATACCTGTTATTGAAGTAATGACGAAAGTAATCCGGGCAACTCGTCACGTATAGTCCCTTACTTTGAGTACATGAGTATAGCTGACTAAGGGATGACACGCCTTATCTATTCGTGATTATTCTCTGAATAAGACACTGCAATTGAGAGTTGATACCCGGACAAGTGACCGTCTTATACCCTCACTTTTCGTACCATTGTCCGCATCGGACGTTCTTCGACAATTTACCTCTGCTGAGGTTTCCCGACCCGTCTTCAGTGTAGGATCCGAGAGAATGACGGTACCAGTGATGACAGACTCACTTCACTTAACGTATTTTATGTATATGATTGAGGGTGGTAGTTCATGATTTAATATGTTTTACTTAATCACTCATTCTCATGTTTATGAAGTCTTAACATCACCTTATCTTCCTGGTTCATCGAACGTAAATTATTATGAGTTCATTACAGTTCAGGGAATTTAATATGAATCATGTCATGAAGAAGTACACGAATCATGAAAACGTGTACAATGACATATCTTCTGCAAACTACATAAATTCTCTTTTTTTTAGTAATGTCTACAGGAACTGTCAATAGTCAACATTCTTCTTGCCATTCTGAGGGTAGAGTAAGAACGTCTTGACACCGGTGTGCAGTTCGATGAAAGATTAAGAGTTTGAGTAGACGATGATCACGTCGAGCTATCTTTATGCGAAGTCTGTCCGCTTGTCCATCCCCGTAGATATAAGTCATCTGATTCTTAGAAACATAAAAGTCTTGCTTTCCTTTGAGTCGATTGACGTAAATTCCTGTTTTTTCCTTCCGTGTACTCGATTCGTGTACTCGGTAATCAGTGCTACGCTCTATTTACGTTTGTCCCGCTTTTTTTTACTTACAGGAGGGGAAAACATTCTGTTATGTCCCCTTAGCGAGGCAGTTTACACCAGGGACAACCAAATACAGAAACAGAGATGCGTCCAGACAATCGCAGGTATCTAACTTTTGTTGGTATTGTATTCGACCTTTCGTCACCGAATCCATCACTCGAACCTTAGTCGTGGGTCCATCCTGGATCGAACGACAGTCCCCTCTTTAATGTGGGTAAACGTCCCCCCCGGGGTTACCCAGAAACGGGACGGAGTCGGGCGTAGCGTATGTTCCAGGAAGGCGACTTTAAGAACGAGTTGAAATTTGGACGCCCTACTTGGATCTCTCACCGATGACCAATTTTCGTAAACCCTTCTACAAAAACTGGGGGACCCGTGGAAGGGGAGGGCAGGTAGTTTATTACGAGGATTGTACACGGTCAAAAAAAAAAAAGTCGACCGGTGTCTCCTAGAGTCCTGACAGACGGTTACGATATAGTCTGCACTGGGTTTAAGTCCCGACTCTTTATTACAACAGTGGTTTTCGAACTGAACCACCGGTATACCCGGGAAGTACCCCGCGATAACGTACAATTTTACCGGGAGGTTTTAGGGTTGGGGGTGTGCCCTTTCGCGCCGACACATTGTTCTTACTTCAACTCGGATCGGTCTAACATTCAAACCAAAAATAAACTTAATTGAATAAACAAATACATACACTCCACTAAAGAACCAAAAAACCGACATTTACGTCGGTTTATCCGTATTTATAGAGTATAATATGTCATTGCCATAATCACATGGTAAACTTTACAATTCAATTACGTAACGGATCTTAACTAGTATACAAGGAGGGGACTTATCCACAACCTTGTGTAATTCATCACTTGAAGTCGGTTGGTCCTTACCTCCGGGTTATCCCAAAAGGGAAACTACTTTTACCTTCTGAGGTCAACGAGTCATAGCTTAATCAACTGACCGTCTACTTTCTCTGGCCGAGACACCTAAGTAACATTTATAGCCCAGGTATACTATCGGCGAAGGGGTCTTCCCCTTTTTCAAGTTTGATTTTTTCTTAGTGTTAACAAGCTCCCCTCCTTTGTTCTTATTCCATTTCCAGTTGGTCTCACAGTCAGGGGGTTATGCATAACGTTTGACACTCTATCTTATCTTTCGCAGAAATGAACTATCTTTTCGATAACTATACAGTTTAAACAAACTACTAATTTTTTGGTATATAGTATACATAACCCCCGTCTGTAATGTATTACAGATTTGCGGGTGTGTTCTATTCGTGCCTCGTTTTCAAGAGGGTTTATTATGACTACGTAGGTTTTTCATTTTAACTTTACATGTTTATCAAATTTTTTTCGGATTAAACCTTATACACCCCCGAGCGATTATTAATATTCTCTGAATTATTGTATACAGGTACTATATGTTGTTTTGTACAATAAAGTAAAACACCCCCCCAAAATTTTACGCGCCTAAAATCGGGGGAAAAAGGTCCAGCATTCCAGACAGACGTCTCTTGGTAGGGGCGGTCGGGTCGGTCACCTCGGAGGCATTTCCGGGTACCTTATTCAACTTCAGGGACACACAACGGAAACTGACAAAACTCACGGGACTCCCTTCGTTATTCATTACCTCTGTTTTCACTCATTTAGTATTTTAACTTATAAAAGTACACAACATTACCCCCATATACTTCTCTCGTTGTTATGGTAAATATATAATATTAATATTATTAATAAATCGTAAATAACAAACTAATAACGAATAAAATTACATGACTAACATAAAGAGGAAAGGTGCTAAGGGGGACTAACAAAACTAGAGGTGGATGCAAAACCGGGGGGTTTACTTTTTATTTCTCGGTTCACACGGAAGGCTTTAACCCGCGACTTATTGGACAGAATCGTTCTTTAGTATCCTCGCGTGAAAATTGGGGGACCTACACCGACACAACCGCAAAAGGATAGAGGAGACTCGTAGTCAGTAAAAAAACTGGGAGGTGTTTCTCTCGAGGATAACACTCCCGGTTTGTCGAGGACTCGACTCGAACGCGGACGACGGAGGGAAGGGACGGGCGACTGGAGATACAAAGGACACAAGAGACTGGGAAGTAGCCCGGTCGGGAGAGTCACAGGGGACGTACCGGACGCTGTGGTGTCGGGGAGAGCCGTAGTCGAACAGGGAGGAGGGATACGAGAACACAATACCCCCTTTGTGTTATCACCAAGATTACCCGGAAGTTCCCGATGGTGAAAGCGTCCGTCATTACTACCTACTTCGACCAAGCCCCGGGACGGTCGTCTCTGGAGTCACAAGACTCAAATGAGGGATTATGTCCAAATAGTAGGAACGTATGAAACCGACCGGTTACAGGACGCGCAAGGGAAATTTTTTATACTGGTGGATATTCCTATACGCTCTTAATAAGAACTCACACCCCGGAGGCCAGGGTGGACACCCAGAGACCGGACACAATCCTATTGTATCCGGAGAATTCGAAACAATCAAAAGATGAACGAAGAAACGATCTTTTTAGCCGACGGGACTATTAAAATTACTTCCGGATTTTTAAATAGGGTGTAACGTCGTTTACAAGCTTATAAGACACGCCAGGACCTAGTGGAAATAGCGGTCGATACAGTCGACGAGGACCCTTCAAGACGAGACACCGGACACCCTAAATAATACCCGATACGACCCGAGGTCAATACCGATGATAAGACATATAAACGTGGGGGTTTACAAAGATTAATAAAATGGAGGTTTGGACTTCGACTTGTGTTTTTTGTAGGACTACCCCTTTTTTGACTCCGGTTAATTTATGTATTTTATTCATCACAAAAAACTGAATACTAAACCGAACTTAAAACGTCACTGTGGATAAGCAATCGTTTGGGGTATAATCGATTTAAAGTGGACCTATCATGCTGTATTTGAACAATATATTGTAGGGCCATACCTATATAAAACATGTCTGTGAAGTTTATTTTTCAAAATACCAAACAGATCCTGCATTTTAGCCATGCCTCATTTAGCTCTATTTGCTCTTTCCAGCCCTGTTCTTGCAGGGGGCTGATTCTGTGAGCTGCAGCTGACCACGCCCCCCTGCAGGAGAGGGGAGCGTGCTTTGAGATCAGCTGCTAGGCTGCAGCGCTGCAGCGGGGAGAAGATGGGGAGAAAAAGAGATCTCCGTCCTCTGTGTTTTATTCTTATATGATTATATAGAGTCATTATTCATTTGTTTTAAAGCTCAATAAATAACAAAGAAGAACTTTGACCGGCACTTTTCTAATTTTGTCCGGAAGATTTAAACTTTAACGGACATGTTGACCGGCGAAAAAAATCTAGCTGAAACTCTGCCGTTCCTTGGAAGAGGCGGAGAGGTGGGTGTTTGTCATCTGCTGGTGGACTAACCGGAGAGAATTACAGTGCTTGCCCTCGACGGGGAGGGATTGCATTGAATTACAGGAGCAAACGCTTGCCTCGGGGAGGGAGAAAAAGAGCCACAGCGGAGAATAAACAGAAGGGCAACCATGGCAACCATGCGCGGGAAGTCTTCTTCGCTGCTTTTGTGGCAGACTACAGCGCCACTTACAGGCCTGGTATATGTACTACAGCGTCTCCAGCGCTTTCGAGCGGCAATGGCCGGCCGTGGCCCAACCCCACATTCCCCTGATAGGAGGAGAATTGACCACTAAGCGGAGCACCACTTCTGTGACGTAGAAAATAATTCAAATCTGGATCAGTCTGTATCAGATGCATTGCAGCCCCGTTTTTAGAGATTTGGGTATGGAGGAAAAGAGAGAGGGTTGTGTTTTCTGAGATCCCTGGAACACCGGGGACACATATTCATGTATAAAAGACGTACAAAAGTGCATTTTGCATGATAGGTCCCCTTTAAAGCGGACAAAAGGCACTGGAGGACACTTATTCATTAACACCCTTTAATGAAGCAAACTAATGCCTTAACTCACTCAAATACAGTCGTTTACTTATTTCGGTGAAACTAATGTGCGTAGAGTTTTAAAGGATGCGGATAGTCTCACCTTGATTCTGGCGCATTGCTTATCGTTTTAAAGATCTATTCTCACCCACCATCTTTGTTTGTGACGTAGAGTGTAAGAGTCACGTTTCTGACTATTGCCTGTCAATTCCGTTGCCTGTCAGTTCCGTTGCTATGGTTCCGTTTTTCTGTGTACTGAAAAGAGATCCGGTATAATTCCACGTGCGAAAACAAAATAAAATTTGGAATACGTTATTTTAGAGGTATGAAGGGTTAACGTTAAATCTTAGGATAATGTTTAGTCATGTTCTGTATACATACTAACATATAAGGGTATACTTAGTGTGGTTACTCCATGTTTACTAGCTATAAGATTAACGTTACATCACTCTTTTTCACTTCTTACTCAGTCAGCCAGAGTGCAGATATCCCCATTAGATTCACAAACCTGAAACATCATCAATTTATTCACTGCTGGTGATGACATTGTTGTCAGCTGCTGATACTGCTGCTGCTGCAGCTTGTGGCGCCTGCTTCAATGAAAATAACTTTCTAATATCCATAACTTTATAGGCTATTAGCTTAAAACTCGTCACGCTCTAGGAAGGATCACTTCTTCTTCAGGGCAGGGAAGGCGACGCAGTACGCAGGCTAATGTCGCGCAGCGGCTGCCTTTCTGGTGGACTCCGGTACTGCACATTACTCCCGAGACATTTTCAAAAAATATATATTTATTTTTATTTTTATTTTAAGTGAAACATCCGGGGCTTTTCAGGAAACATCCGGGGCTTGAGCCCAAGTAGTCACCCACTAGCGCCGCCACTCTCACACATTAATGGTTTCTCGTTTGCTAAAATACCCAAATTGGTTTAAAAAAAAGATGCATTTGCTTAATGGTAATTAATTTGAATATTTTATGGAAAAAAATCAATAACTTCTCTGTGATACCAAAAATTCACGTTACACATCAATGGTCTTTTACTGGTTACACTTGCCAATTCTTGGTTGTATAGTATTGTAGTTTAGTTGTTTTCCAGAGATATAGCAGAAGTATACAATTATGAATTAATTAATTAATAACCCTAACATGGAAGCAATGAAAATAACCACGGCTTTGATTGAAAAAAAAGAAAGCGTTTTGACGTTTGTTATGAATTTGCGACAATTGCACTGGCTTTTGCAAAGCGAACATTACCACAACACTATTTTAAAGTGTTCATAAAAACAGAATTATTACACGCATCATATGTGCGCTTTTCGTATTTTTTCAAAGCGTTGGTTTTACATGGGAGTGCCCGGTGTTCAACACCCAATAATCACATATTTTGTTTTTGGCTTTGTTCAATATAATTTTTTATTTTACAATATATCTATGTTAAATTACTTATAACATGCTTCATACTTGCAATGCTGTAGCTCATTAACGCTCATGTTCCTACTTTTTTACTGGTTTCCCACCAATCAACAAACCATTCTGCTACAGCGGTTCAGCTTAATCCGGTGACTTATTTATGATGATGATTTTAGTAACATTTTACTTTATGACATGGAAGTTATGTAATATTTGATTTTTTATCATTTTTCGGCGTTTTACTTTGTAGACGATCCCTGTGCCCTCTGCAGATAGGAGTGTTCCATCTCGGAGGACCCTTACAGTCTATGGGAGGACGGAGCTTATCGGCATGTTTTGATAGAAATTAGGTTGAAACTCCTTGTGTACCTTACTATTATTGTTTAACAGACGAGGTTTGTGTTTTGATAATTGTTTGTGTTGAGTTATTTATCCATCAAGTTTGAATCAGTCAAAATCGTTCTTACCTAACGCTAACCGAACTAGGAAAGCAAACTTTTTGTCACTTTTTTTTCATCTTGTAAAATACGAGCAGAGTGAGACCTCTTGCCTTTTCAACTCAGGTTGATCTTCACTTTTAATGTAAGTTTAATTTGCATCTAAAACATATTTCTTTCCAACTGAATGATTTGTTGCAAATGAAGTAGCCTAGATATTAACTTTTATTTCATGCGAGTGTAAATGCTACAGTGTGTACCGTTCCGATCTAGCCGTTGGGGGTGTTTGCTGTTCCAAAAGGGGGCGGAGCTTGAATTCCAAACTGGAATGAGTTTCCTCCTATGGTTTCCTCCCGATACGTCACTCTGGGATAGGCTGTGAGCTGCCGAGCAACACTGTCTGTCAACGGAGTTTCGGGCTGATTACCTTGCCGTTTTTGGGTAAGTAAAAACAATACAATAATCAAAGAATCGCTGAATAGATTTATGATTAATTGTACCTTTAGTTTGTTACAAAAGGTGAGGGTTTTTAGCTTTGCCTCTCTCTCGCAACGAGCAGTTTTAAAGTTCGATGCTCACACAACTACAAGGGAAACTTTTGTCGGGAAGGCCTTGTCTTATTTGTTGCAACAGGTCCTCGAAACGGGATAGTATTCATGTATTTTATATTGTGTGCATTTTGGTTGGACTTATGAAATAACGAAGTGCTGTGTTTTGAATGCAGGACGGGACCCCCAAGTGAGAGAAAGTAGCCTTGCCCATCGCGGCTTTAGGCTCTGGGATTAAAGTGATCGCCAGTCCCACAGCTTTCGTCGAAACTGCGAGTTGGGGATTCATGCTGTGTTGGTTAGCTAAATGCGGTACGAAGCTAAAATGATGCCGGTAAGTTCATGTTTTAATTTCTTGGCTACAAGTTTCAACGTTGTCATTTCGCATTGTATTTCTGTTTTCGACATGATATCACTGCACTTACCCTGCATTGTGAATTACCTGGACATTTAAATGGACGCTGCAAGATGATGCGGCTGCGACTTTTGTGTTAATAATTTGACAGCACAGGTTTCTGCTGTGAAGTTCACCATGTGTGACAGAAGTGTGTGATCTGCGTATGAGGTTATGTCATATATTTGCTTTCCATGCATACGGTCTCTTACTGTAAGCTACCTTCACGTAAACCAGCCATAGTCCCCTGCGTCAAACTACCTTTTATAACCTGTCTCGGGACAGTTTACATTAACCTGACAACATAGTCATTAACGTAACTCCGTTAAGGCATTTATTATACGCTCTGTTAGTTTTATACACATCCATGATCCTGCTCAGTACACACAGCAAGCAGGGGGCACCTGCCAAGTCTGGATGGCACTAAGCTAACCTCAGCCCTGGACTCCTGCCATGTCATCACCATCATCACCATCATCAGAGGTTCATTTCTCTTGCTGCAGTCAAAGCCTCTTTCTCTCAGCACTTCTTTGATGTATGTAGAGAGAGAGCAGCGGACAGTCTGTATGTGCTCACAGTAGAGAAATATTCTTCCCAACAATTAGAATTTGAGACATGTTTTTTTATTTTAATAATGCAGGAATGCAAGCAAGGGTGCAAAGTTCAAAGAAGTGGTGGCTGAATTTGTAACTAGTAAGCGTTCAACCCAGCAAAATAATCGTATTTATTTTTAAATCGTATAAATTAAAATTCCCTTCACAACTTTCTAGACATCAAGGACATGTGTTATTGCTATTTGTTTTCATCCTTTTAATTGTACCAACAAAGTATATTAATATATATATATATGTATGTATGTATGTATATATATGATCTAAAAGAGACAAGCAGCAACCTTTTTTTATGCTCGGCATTTCGTCTTGGTAAACGACTTAAATGCATCTGTTGTCGAAATATTTGCTGGTTAATTTCTTTTTATCAGCTAATAGTTTAATAAACTAATCTTTCAAAAACCAAAGCCGGTTTAGCATTAGTTGCAGGCTTTTTAGTTTAAAGAGGAAATAACAGCCATTGTCTGAATGTTAACACTGCAGTGTTTTGTGTTTTTGCCTCAGCTTCTCTGGTTATTTCTAGATCTTTGTGTTATGAACAAATATGTTAAGTCACATGCTGTACGATGCACAGACTGTACACTTGATTTACAAAGATGTAAACAACTAATGACAAATCCAGTGTAATCCTGTGTGGTAGTATGTCTCAGGTTCTACTAATGATACCCGTCTGTGCCTCGACCTGTGCTTCCAGTAAAACAGCTTGATCATTGAATTAATCATCTTAGCTGTGGAGACAGAGTCCTATCTGTCTGGTGCATGACCTCAGTCTGCTCCTGGCACATTGTTATTTGGTATCACCAAGCTCCCATCTTGTCGAAACTAAAATACATGTCACCCTTAACTGATTTCAAACAAGATTTGTTTCTTTATATTCAACATGAGACCTTGTTAACCACCCCCTTTATTCCATGTCTGACTCCTGAGAATATCTGTGTGTTTTGTTGTGTTTGAATGGGATACAGCTTCTGGTGTTGGCCTGATAAACACAAAATGGCCTCTATATATCAACGTCTGATGTGAGGTATTGTCTTAGAAATGACACCCATAGCCCATGACCCCGCTGGTACATGCCAGGGGCTCGGGGGTAGTGAGAATGCAGTGTCGTAATTACTGCTTGGATGGTAAATAAGGGGTCACTGTTTTCTGAACACAATGAGCTGCAGGGACTCTTTTACAGCTTGTTGTGGAGAGCACATTGTGTGTGCGCCTGACCTCCGAGTGTTGTGGCGGCACCCTGATAAGAGATGCTCACTCTCTGTTGAACCATAGAAGATGTAACTTGTATACCCCTTATTTACTATCAGGTTTTCTCAATCTAGGCTTTGACTGTCGACAGTTACTAATGACACATTTAGTCTTGGACTCTCTGCTGGTTTTTAAGCTATATAATGTTGTCCTTTTTGTTAATATTGATTATATTCAATGCAATGCTCTGGCAACATACAGTGACAGAAACCCAAACCTGCAAGTTCCTGCTTTATTTTGGATGTAAAATGTTGCAGGCATAAATCATTTCCTCATTCCTTTCCCATGACATAAGTTGCTTGCTGTGTAGATTTCCAAGCAGATAAACAATGTTGTTCCCATCCTGCATTATTGAGTTTTGCCTTCTTTGACCACACGCATGTCTCAATTATACCACAACAAATCTCTCTGTTGTTAGACTTTGTGGTGGGAAAAATGAAATGATGCTCTGGGAAGCCTGATTTTGCTGTATATGTCAACAGAAACATGAGAAAACTTTCTCTGTGGCACCATAGGCTTTGTGTGTGGGAGAGTACAATGTGGTTACATAAGCAGCCTCATTGGTGATAGCCAAGGACTCACAAGGGCAATGTTTTGACTTTTATTTTAATACGAATATATTTAGATTTTACTGTATAGGCCCAAAAGAGTAGTGTCAAAATACACTTCTCTCCCAACTTAACAAGCTATTAATTTTATATAGTTTGTATTTTCTTAAGATAGCTTACAACAATATACCATAATGTAAACAAGCAGGATTTCATCACAAGGCAGAACAAAGATTTGATGATGATGCTATTTTACAAGATTTCTATGATGCACCCTGTTAGACTGCAGCACACTAATGCTACAATACCAGCCTCACATTAGCTCGGTTTCTGAAAGGAAGCACACATGAGTCACCTGAGCAGGTATTGACTTACCTACCATAGAGTATTGAGTGACTCCCATCCGGGGGAATCAAGGTGAAAAGCCGAACTACACTCCAGAAAGACACTTTTTCAAGCAACGACAGCATTTGAAACGGTCTAACTATTAGGAACACTGCGGTTATGGTTCAGAAGTGAAGCCAGGGTGATCAGGGAATCAGCTTGTGACCCTTTATCATTACATATTCCCAGGAACTAAGATAAAAATAAAGGTCCATCTTCTTCTTAAAGCTTGGACTTGGAGGTTGTGGTCGAATTGTCAATTTTAGCTTAGACAGGTTCTTACTGAGTAAAATGATCCGGAAGTACTTAAGTGGTGATAAGCGCAGTTAGGATACTCTAGATCAGGGGTGCCCACACTTTTTCAGCTTGGGAGCTACTTTTAAAATGACCAAGCCCAAATGATCTGCCTAAACTGTGTCGCGAGCGGGGAGGGGGTTCTAGTGGACTAAACGGCGATAAACTGTGGCGCGCATTTGCGCTTCAGATGAGGAGGTGAGGCCCCCTCATAACTGCATGAACCCGTATGCCACAATACATTTTATACCCTTTCTTTAGTAGAATTGTATAAATTGACTAACTAGTTAATCAGCTCGTCGGTGATTTGCAGCCCATGCGTGGTGAACTGCATGTTAGAAGATCTCAGACTGGCGTCAATCAAGTGGCAAATGCCATATTAACGGCCCCTACTACACACGGCGGTGTGCGTTGAAGCTTGCCGGCGGGCATGTCTGACGCTCGACCAACAACAAATCACATGAATCTCCCGCCACGGACACACAAGCAGCGGTTTGATTGGCTAGAGCTTGTACTGTCATATGATTCGATTGGCTGACGCTTCCGTCGAAGCTTCAAAAGTAGGACATTGCTCTACTTTTGAAGCGAGCAAAAGCTACACTTTGCTCCCACAATGCAGTTTGGCGAAGCGGGACGTCACCCATTGAAAGTGAATGGGCAGAAGCGTTGAAGCTTCAACGCACGCCGCCGTGTGTAGGGGCCGTAAGGATTGATGATAACGGCTAACTTTTTTCAATGCCATGCGATCTACCCACACTACCTTTGCGATCGACGTATTGGGCACCCCTATTCTAGATGATAGGAAAGGAGCTTCAATGCTTCCTTTATAATTTCCTTTAGTTTAAGATACATTGGTCCATCCTTTACAAAAGGAAACAAGCTATCCAATTCCTTGTCGACACAACATTCGGCTGTTCACAGAAACAAACAAAGTATGAGATAGATACTACAGTAGATGCGCTTATTGTATCTCGTAGTGCAGAACATTGTATTTCCCACGGCAGAAGCACATCAATAACACCTTGTTTCCCCTCCTGCCAAATCTGAAGAGCCAATGGGATATGGTATATTATAATGAGAGCAGTAAGCAGTCCATTTTATCATTTAACAAGATAACATCGCAGTTGTTGCATTATTCTTTATAATTTACTGCTGTGCAACCCTGATGTTTGAATACATGTCACTTTGGTTTGTTTGAATGTCAGACATGTATTGATATTCCAGTCTATGTAGTCCTAATATTGATACTACTGGAAACCAGTACTTACTGCTCTCCCATGGACTTTTGTTCACACTAAAACAATTTGTCCAGGAACTAAATATAGACTCTAGTTCCTTTGGTCAACAAGTGGACAAAAAGACAGTTCCTGGAAATGTTCCTTCATTGGAAAAGTCCTTTTTGTAGTCTGCCTCCTCCAATCACCTGCTCTCCTGCTTCAACAAAGACTCTTTAGCACATGACAGATACAACACAACCAACAAAGTGGGCGTTTTTCAAGGATGCCAATTACCGGTAGTGTGCCTGTCACATTCTCAATGGCTGGCTTTTAGTTTTACTTTATGAGATAAGTGTTAGAAAGATGAGTTTTGCATACAGTAAACTCGTATACCACGGACAAGCCGAGAAACAATTTAAATAGCAAAGTGTGTGTGTGTGTTATCGGAATTAGCCTCAACTTTGCTGCGGCCTTGTTTTTACTCTGAATGATCTCATCCAACTGTAGAAGGCTTGTAAAAAGGATACATACACTCCCTTCTGGTTCATTTTGACTGCCATTTCCCTTATCTGTCAGATAAGCGCGAGTTGGAACGGTCTCGTATAGGCCTGGAATGGGAAGCTATTGTGCAGATCGTA